TCCAGTTGAAGCCACTAGATGCGGTGCTGCTGCGTTGTTCATTAAAAATATAGCGGAAAAAGAGAACATCAATGCGGAGAAGATCTTGTTTACATCAAAACTGAAACCAAGCCGTTCACACAGAACACATATTTCACGCATTTTCTAGAGCATTTTCTCGTTGCACTCGCATCTCGCACAAAGGAGCCGCATGTTTAGAAAGCCATGCAAAATTAATGCAAGTTTAACATATATTGAGATTTTATAGCGGGGTTTTTTTCCCCCATCCCACTGCATCTCATGTTTTTAAATGAAAAATGTACTCTGTGTGATTGGCTTTCGGCCCTTTGTATTAAACCATGAATACATACATGATGATGTTTTGTTTATAGTTGTTTAAGCAACTTAATTATAATTGGTTTATAAACATTATTTTAAACATTATGCACTTTTTCACAGATAGTCATGTTATCTTATGCTTTGAATAAACGTGCATTAGTAATATTTTGCTCGATGCGCCCTCTTGTGGCCTCAGGAGAGAAGCCAAAAGCTTTTCTTCACCCTAACTCAAATTATACGTTTTAAATTCTAATATAATTCAAATTTTTGATAATATTTACGTTTATTTTCAACCATTTTGACAGCCCTACATCCCAGTGAACTGTATCTCAGATTAAACATATCATAGTGGACATTTAGATGTTTTAAGCTCAGGTAGGATTCTGCTTTTTCCTCCAATGATCTATCTTTTTGAAAAGGTCAACTCAGAATAACATTATCCAGCAAATGTTCTTCACTTTCTTAGACAGGAACCATTTATTGTCTTTTTACATTGTATTGCATTACTGAAGTGCACACAATCATTATTCTGGACTAGTTAACAAGAAAAACGCATGAGTAGCAGACATGTGATATTTGTGAGGGTCAGAAGCTGTAAAAACACACAGTGCTTTGATAACGGCTGTTACTCCTCCTCCTCCTCCTCCTCCTCACGTACTAGATGAAGGAGAATGAGCCAGTAATCTTCATGATTCACACTATGATTGAGAACTCGGCGCCAAGGCCGCAACTGTACCAGCAAGTAAGGTCTTGGAACACACGGTTATGCTCCTCCCCTCTCGTGTCATTGGCCCCGCCTCTTTGTCGAAGCTCCACCCCCTCACTGCCCCATCCTGTGTCGGTTTCGTTGCAGCACATCCCATTGGTGTTCCTTGTTGTTGTTGTTTTCTTGTTGAAAGTGGTACTGGTATTGGCATGGCTTGAAGGTTTCGTGCGCCGCATAGCCGTGCGAATCCCAGCTGCTGGTGCTAATGTGCCGTTCATTAGCAATGGCTTCATCCATCACGCCGGCTTTCATGTGTTAGTTAGCACAGACTCGAGTGTGTGACTGGAGACCAGTTTGATTTACGAAGGCTTTTGACCTCCAAAGGAAAAGCATTTGATGGGTTTTATGAGCTTTAAAGGCCCATTCACATCACAGACGATAACTGTAAGTAGTTTTAACAATCATTCTGAATAGAGAAGTCAAAGCTAAAACAATAACAACGCAGAGGAACAATATTGCCGGAATCATTATTGTTGGAAAAATGACAAAAAAAACATTGAGAGCCGATCAGAATCCACTCAGTTTTGAAGCAACAAAAGAATGATCTGTTATTGGTGTGAATGGGCCTTCATTAGATAGAAACCCAGTCATGTCGTGATAATTGTTCGCTTTGTAAAGTCAGCGAACAGGTCAAAGTTGAAGTGTAAAGTGCTTATGACAATGGGATTGTGATGCTACAAGAGAAATTATAATAAAATGATGAGCTAAATAATCCCAATGTCATAAGCACAAAAATGTAGTTTTAATAAAAATATAGCAATATACAGTTTTCATTACTTGTAAGAAATATGCATGGCCAATAAAGTGTTCATTTGAACTTAATTTAAGAAAATATGCGTATTTTGTATATAATTTTAATATTAGTTGCTTTAAGTTAAGACTAGGGCTGCACGATAAATCGCATGCGATATTTAACGCGCATCTTGTCAGAAAGCCGGTTCTGTAATCAGCGGTAAATCTCCATCACCTGCGTGCTTTCACATTGAGCAGCATTAACTACACAGAGCC